TCCAGTTGTCCAAGCACCATTTGTTAAAAGGCTGTCTTTTCTCCAAAATATATTTATGTTACTTTGTCAAGTATCAGAAGGTTATAGGTATGGGAATTTTCCTCTGTGTCTTCTGTTCCACTAGTTTTCATGTCTGTTTTGATGCCAACACCATGCTGTTTTTGTTACTATAGCTCTGTAGAATAATTACAAATCAGTTATACTTCCTGTTTCACTTTTCTACTCTTTTGGTTTTCTTATTCTTCCAAATGACTTTAAGAATTATTTTTTTCTAATTCTGTGAAGAATGTTATTGGTATTTTGATGTTGCTTGCATTGAACCTGCATATTGCTTTTGGTAGTATGGCCATTTTGACAATATTAATTCTGCCTAGCCAAGAACATGGGATGTCTTTCCATCTAAGGTCTTCTCAATTTCTTTCTTCAAGTGTTCTATAATTTTCATTGTAGAGCTATTTTACCTCCTTGGTTAGATTAATTACCAAGTTTTTCAATTTAAAAAAAAAATGGCATTACTGCAAATGGAATGGTTTTCCTGATTTATTCCTCGGATGAATTATTGTTGGAGTATAGGAAAGCTATTAATTTATGGGTGTTGATCTTGTATCCTGCTACATTGCTGAACTCATTTATAAACTCTAGAAACTCTAGAAGTCTTCTGGTGGAATTTTTTGGGGCTTTTAGATAGGTTTATGTCATTGGGAAACAGAGGTAGTTTGACTTCTTCTTTTCCTATTTGTATCCCTCTGATTTCCTCTTCTTGCCTGATCACTCTGGCTAATGTTCCAAGAACTATATTGAATAGAAGTGGTAAAAAGAGTAAACAGCCTTGTCTTGTTCCTGATTTTAGAGGAAATGCTTTTAGTTTTTCTCCGTTCAGTATGATGTTGGCTTTGGGTTTGTCATAAAAAGCCTGTACAATGTTGAAGCAAGTTCCTTCCATCCCTAGCTTCTTTTTTGTAACATGAATGGGTGCTGAATTTGATCAAAAGCCTTTTCTGTATCTATTGAGATAATCATGTAATTCTTGTCCTTAATTCTGTTTAAGTGGTGAGTTACATTATGTTGAATCAAACTTGCATCCTTGGAATGAAGAGCCCACTTGATCATGGTATATTATCTTTTGATGTCTTTTTAAAATGTGTTTTGCTAATTTTTATTAAGGATTTTCATCAGGGATATTGGCATATAATTTTCTTTCCTTGATACATCTTTGTCTGGTTTTGGTACCAGGGTTATACTGGCTTCACAAAATTTATTTGGGAATTTCCCTCTCTTTCAATTTCATGGAATACTTTGAGAAAGTCTAGTGTTAGTTCTTTTTAATGATCTTCTAGAAATCAGCTGAGAATCCATCTGATCATTGGCTTTTCTTTTTTGGAAGGCTTTTAACTGATGTTTCAATTTCATTACTTGACATTGGTCTGTTTAGATTTTCTATATCTTCCTGATTCATTGAGCAGGTCATATATGTCTAGAAATTTGTCAATGTCTTTAGATTTTTCAGTGTAGTAAAGTAAAATTTTTAAAATAGGATCTGATAATCCGCTGGATTTCAGAAGGTTCTGTGGTAATATCTCTTTTTTCACCTCTTGTTGATTTTTCCTTTCTTTTGGTTAGTTTAGCTAAAAATTTATTAATCTTTTCAAAGAGCCAATTCTTCAGTGCATAATCCTGTGTATTATTTTCTTATTCTCAATTTCATTGATTTTGACTCTGATGTTAATTATTTCCTGTCTTCTGCTGGCTTTTGGATTAGTTTAGACTTCTTTTTCTAAGGCCTTGAGGTGGAGCATAAGCTTATTTATTTGCAATCTCTCTATTTTCCAAGTTTCTCTCTTCAGTTATTTGTTTTGATGTTTATTTGCTTGTTTGGTTGATTGGTTTTATTGTTGTGGTTTGGTTTGGTCTACTAAATTAAAATGCAATATGGGCAAGTACTCTTGAAAAAGACCAATCTTGATCTTTAGCAATTTCTTTGAAGAGAACATGGCAGTCACTGACTCAAATGGTATGAAGATTTATTTCTCTAGTCACTCAAACCACAGAGAACTCTGATCTAGTAAAAATTTTCACTCTTCTTCTTCTTTTTGTTTTTTTTCTTATGGTGCTTTTCAGATATCAAGCTTTTATTCTGGGTAATTATGGGCCTGGGGGGTGAGCTCCATCAAAAGCTACTCTGGCTTCTCAAAAAGTAAGTCTAGCTTTAGACACATTATAAAGTTTTGCATCATAATAGCCTCAGCAGCTGATTTTTATTTTCTTATTCTGGAAAACTGTACACATCACTGAAACAGGGCAGGGGAGTGTATATATGTATATTAGACATCTGTTTCTGTGGCCTGCTTTAATTTACACAAAGGGGAACTATTTCTCTCTCCTTTTTGAATTCCCAACTTCATTTAATACTTTTTATATTCATCATTTATTCTGGTTGAGGGATTATGATAGCAATATAGTTTTCAAATATAACTGAGAGTTTAAATAGAGCATGTTCAATCAACTAAAATGCTTTATTTTGCTGGTATATAGTGATCTCTGCAAAATGTCTTGAGCACACAACTCTCAGAAGTAGTACAAGATTTGTACAGTATATGTAGTTATAGATTATATGTACATGTGCTACTATATTAATACATTATGTGAAGCTTAAAATATAGATTTCTCAAGAATTTTAAAGATGTCTTTTATTTAGTAATGACAAATAACTTTTTGCTGTCACTAGAAATTATTAATGATATTTAACAAGAATAATGTGATTTAAGCTAATTTATTATTTCAGAACATATTGGTTAATCCTTTGTGATTGAGCAATTTAAAGTTCAATTTGTTTTGATACATGATTTTAACAAGTGTTAAAGATACCTCATAAAATTATGTAGATCTAAATGAGAAAAAGTCATCGGGGCCCTAACAGCCTCAGTTTTTAATTCTATCCTCTGATAAGGCAAAGGTTTAGAGGTTTTCAATTTTTAATTATTACTATTTTGTTATTGCTAACTGAAATTTAGCTAATATATTTCCTGATATCAATCTGATATCAGTTTGTTGCTCTTGAAAACTTATTAACCTTTTGAATTCTTATATTTAAAAAAAAATTATGTCCTAAAGCCATTGATATTTTGCAAGTTTTTTTTTAAAGCCAGTTAGGATATTCCATTTCCATATCTAATATGTAGATATTCCATCTACATATTAGCAAACATGTAGATGTGAAGAGTTATAATAGGTGACGCATTATTTTAAAAAATAAAATCACATTTACAAACATCTACTTTCAGAAAATGCTCTCCTTGTAACAGGTTTCTTCCAGAAGCAGTTATTTTCTCACTTATTGTCAAAACACTGCTTCTACCTTGAAGGGCTATATTTAAGTATATTTTTCAAAAAATCTCTGCAAGATAGCATCTACTAAAACCATTTAGCACATCAAGGTCACCTAGTTTGGACAACTTGTCTTTCTGAAAAAGGAAAATGGGTAACAAATTTTAGTCTCTCTTATTAAAAACAACCTCTGTGTGGGAGAAATATATTGGTATTCATTACCCATCTCATTACAAGAGTATAAAAAGGTACTAGGATACTTTAAAGAACTTATTTGCACACAACCAACTAAGTAATATTATCCTATGGTACTGTGTATGCATCTGGCTTTAATGTCTTTGTTCTTCAGTAGCTCATTCAATAGCTTGTTTGTGAGTGCTGCAGCCAATGCATTTCATATATGTCACTGTTAATGATAATGAGTGCAAATCCTTATTCAAATAACCTGCTTCATTATTTCTACTGAGTAGGGCTGGCTTCTGGACAGATTCCATTAAATTGCTTTCATCCCAAATGGGAATATCTGCCAGATGTCTCCCAGTATCCATTCTCTCTCCCTCTTCCTCAGTATCAGAACCTGTGAACTGGCCTATAACTTTCCAGAGCAAACCTCACATTTTCCAAGGCCCTCCTCCTTTCTCCCTTACAGATACAGCCTTGAATCTACATTGTAAGTCCTGGGATGTAAGTAGGAACAATATATAGCCTTAGAAGAAGGGGCAGATCTCCTGCCTCCTTTCCTTCTAACTACCTAGAATTCAGATTTGATGGCTGCAACTTAAGCAACCATCTTGAAGCAAGGAGAAGCCAGGCATTATTAGGGCAGCCAGAGCAACAAGAAGGGGGACCCAGGTCCTTCATATCTATGTTGTTGTCACTCAGGCTTGAGTTGCCTATATTTATGTGTGAGAGAAATATATTTACATCTCTTTGAGCTTCTAGTATTTAGGGTTTTCTGTCTCTCATTTGTATGTTGAACCCTTATTAATACACCTGGTGATGGCCTGATGAAGCACTCATGCTAGGTGTCGGAGCACAGACAGTTCTGCCATCTCCTCACATCCACAGGTTTTCCTCATTAACATAACCTTCAATCTGCAGTTTCCTAACAGGAACTGCTTTTGAGCCACTCGTCCATTTAGTCAGAATTAGTTTTGAAGAACTACATAATAGAATATTTAAATTGACTTTACCAGGTTAGTGTAAACTATAACCTCTGTCAGCAGATTAGAAAGCAAATCAATGAGGCCATCACTAGGCACTTCCAGCTTTTCTTCCAGACAAGTCAAGAACCACGCATAATCTGCATTTGACAAATACAGACCATAGGAGACCACTAATGTCCCTGGTAAACAGAAATAAAGTTTTGGTATTTTGCTTGACACATAAATATATGGAGTTCTGCTTCCTTCCTGCTCCTTTCCTGCCACTACCAACCATGTTTTCAAGCATCTGCCAGGTGAGCAGCACTCCACCCACCTTAAGGCCATCCTCAGGCTGTGGATGGACCCATACCTAAATACAGGCTTCCTTCCTGCATCACAACATGGTGCTATGACATGGAAATGTCCCAAAGTGAAAAATGTGCACAAGTAAAAGTTTTCCATAAAAACTGAAAACTCATGAAGCAAATGGTAAATCAAAGGGTGGGTGGATGTAAAGATTTGGTGCTTTACCTGAATACCTCAAGAACAGTCCTTTCAGGTAATTTGGGAGCCACAAGCCTGAAGGCTCTTTGGAAATCTTCCAAAGTTAAAAATCCACGATCTATTTGAAAACAAAATATATCATGTTCAATTACTTTTATAAACCCTGTGAACTATTATTTCATACTTAATATTTATGTGAAACTTTATTTTAATATGTTATTGGGAGAAAAGCAGTACATTAACATTTGAATTTACAGGTAAGATAATCTAAGGTTGAACTGGGGTTGTGGCTCAGTGGTAGAGCGCTCGCCTAGCATGTGTGAGGCCATGGGTTCGATCCTCAGCACCACATAAAAAATAAATAAATAAAATAAAGATATTGTGCCCAGCTAAAAAAATAAATATTTTTTTTTTCTTAAAAAAAGATAATCTAAGGTTGTCTCAATTGAAGAATTTGCAAATCTAGCAATATTCTCCCCTTCAGCGCAGTCCCAGTGATCTCGCATCACTTGCAGTCCTGCCATTTTGCTGATTCTCCAAGTCCAGGGGAAAGGACCAGATGCAGACATGACTACAATAATGAAATTGGGCTTTGAGTCATTGTGAATTGTCAAAACTGTTCAGTCTTCAAATTTTATTTTATTTTAGTTTTGTGGGGAAACTCATAATAGCAGGGGAGACACTTTAATCCATAAGTCCTCTCCTCCTGGGTGAGATATGTGGGGCTGGGGGGTCTGTGGCCACCCTTCTCAGCCAAGCCCAGTGTGGGAAGACAACTCTTCCAATTGTGTGAGTCAAAGCAGGAGCTGAAGGAGACAGCTGCAGGGTCTCCCACACTCCCCAGCTGGCTGTGACCTATATCCCTACACAGCCAACCCTTTGCTGCCAACTGCACAATATAGGTACAATCTGCAAGTACACATTACAGTATCCAAGCACAATTACATAACCACAAACATTATTTCATCCTTAGAATGTGCCAAGAACTTAAGATTGCGGTGGAAAAAAAATTCACACCAACACCTTAGGTAATAGCTAAAGACTACAGTAAAATAATCTTCCAAGTACACTGTACATTTGGTTTACTGAGTATATATTCTCATTCACAATTTCTTAGCAGAAACTTTTTATCAAAACACTTCAAACACTCTGAAGACACTTACAGTGCATGTCAAAAGCTGTGAAGATGTGTCTTATCTCATTGTGATATAGTTGAACTTCCTTCTTTTTCCTTATGATATTTAAAAACTCCTCAAGCGATACACCTAAAAGTTGAGGAAAACAATTTGCCAAAGATGACTGTCTTCCTCTTTAGAAAAAATAAAACAGACGTGAACAGTAATAAATATCATAATCAAACTTGACCTTAATTTTGGAGAATGGTATTTACTCCTAAACAAAGTCAAAGAGACATTTTGCTACATGCTAAGTAAATCCAGCCCTAGCAATCAACAGTGAAAATGATAGATACCCTTGGGGTCCACCATGCCATTGCAAGGGACAAAGGAATGGTGACCTTGAAAAAGTTTAACACTCTTTTCTCTAAAAGATCTAAAGGACAGGCAAGAAACTACTCATTAAACGATGTCTCATAATTTTTCTTTCCTTATGCTTCTTTGATCCCTTTTTTCATAGCCAGATGTCATTTTGGCAGGTTTTTTTCCAACTGGGAGATCAGGTCAGAGAAGTAGTTTCTCAAAAGTCAATACCAATTGCATACCACAGATAAAGGTGGAGAGAATATTACATAAACAATAGAGCTGGCACCATCCCCAGCCGTGGATACACCCCACAATGTGTTCAGCAGCCTGGGGCTCAGCTTCCTGCGACTCTCATAATAAAAGAGCCCAGCATGATGATATGAGATTGGATACTGTGCTTACAATGTCTATTAAAATGAATTCTAATGTGATCTTTGTAGTAGGTTTAAGAAGCAGAGCCAAGAATTTAAACATTTTAGTGAACTGCGTTCTAAATATATAAAAAGAGCAGTTCATTTTTATAATGCAGGATTTCCATTAAAAAAGTTATCACTCTGTTTTAAAAATAGCCCTAAATCATACTATAACCACAAGTAACCTTTTCCTTTGGGTGGGGTAACTAATATTGTGCCATATGTCATTTTTAAGACAGTTCCTATAGCTCAAAACATGTTGAAATAATTTTCTTAATTTCTTATGCTTTTCTTATTTGTAAAGATTTATAAACTTTAAAAAAAATCAATCAAGCTTGATGTTTTTAAATTATTCTGATTGTTTTACAACTTTAAAATTTTTTTTTAGTTGTCGATGCACCTTTATTTATTTATATGCAGTGCTAGGAATCGAATCCAGTGCCTCACACATGCTAGGCAAATACTTTACCACTGACCTACACCCCAGCCCTTTTTAAAAAATATTTTATTTTTTAGTTGTAGTTGGACACAACACCTTTATTTCACTTGTTTATTTTTGTATGTGGTGCTGAGGATGGAACTCAGGGTCTAGCACGTGCAAGGCGAGCGTTCTACCGCTGAGCCACAACCCCAGCCCCCAGCCCTCTTTGACAACTTTTTAAGATCCACTGTGTGCCAGGCACTGTATTAAGCTCTGGAAGTAGAGGGGAGAAGAAAACAGACATGGCCCCAGTTTCAAGGGTAATACTATTTAATGGGGAGACCACCATTATTCAGGTTCAACTGCAAACACATAATTGCAGATTGCAGCAACCAGGGAGAAACAGGAGGTTGTCAAGAGAGTCCCGGGAATCCTCTTGTAGCACAGACTCTGGTCGAGGAGAAAACTCTCAAGGGGAAGAAACATTTAAGCTAAGATCATGAAATGATACCAGCTAGCTAAAGGAGGAGAAGAAGAGCAATTCAAGCAGTGGAAACAACATGTGCAAAGGTGGCGGGCTGGCCAGGTGGGGAAATGAGAAGATGCCACCTGCCTGGACCACGGTGAGCAAGAGAGAGTAATGCAAGACGAGTTGGGTGAGAGAGGCAGGGCAGGGACTCCCACAGGCCCTGTGGGCAGCAGCAGATAATTTGGATTTTATTTAGGCTGCAGTAGAAAGTCAGTCAAAGATTTAAATTAAGAAGTGATATGATCTCATTAATATTTTCAAAAGATCTTTCAGGGTATTGTCTTGGGAAAAAGGATTGGGGAAGAAGCAAAAATATAAAAAGGGAGACCAGTTAGGAGACTACTGGCAAGAGATGTGGTTGTGGGGTGCTGGTGGGCACAAGGAGAAGGTGTCCACAATGTTCTAGAATAGAAATGACACGACTTGATAATGAATCGGATGTGGCAGGTGAGAAAGAAGATGTCAAGAATAACCCGCAGCTTCTGGACTGACTGCTAGGTAGTTTGAGAAGTCATTTAAAGAGATAAAAAGACGAGGGAAGACAGGCTTTGGGGTGAGATGAGGAGCTGTGTTAGGATGTGTGAAGTGCTCAGTGCTTTGGAGCCAAAGAGGAGGAAAACGTGGAGGCGGCAGCTGGCTTTCCTCTAGGCAACAAGGCACATGCCCTGGCACCTAGAGGAGCGTTTGGCAGGTATTCCTACGTATAATCATCCCTTGGTATCTGTCGGGGACTGGTTCCAGAACCCCTCAAGGATACCACAATCCAAGGATGCTCAAGTCCTTCATATAAAATGGCAGAGTATTTGCATATATCCTCTGCACATCCTCCCATATACTTTAAGTCATCTCTAGATTACTTGTAATACCTAATACAATGGAAGCTCTGTATAAATAGTTGTTACTGTGTTGTTTAGGGAATAATGGCAGGAAAAAAGTCTGCACATGTTTGATATAGATGCAATTTTTAAAAAATCTTTTCCATCTGTGGATGAGTGAAGCTTGGCACCTGCGGATGCAGAAGGCTGACAGTACTGCATTGAATCAGCATATGCAACATTTTCCCCCCAGTAGCTGCTTAGAGATTGATGCTGCTCCATTCCATCTAATCACTCCTGTGACCAGAGAACATACCTCAGAATGCTAGCTGAGGTTAAAACTGAAGTCAGGTCATGCATGTTCCCTTAAGTTCATATCTATAACTTTAGTTTCATAAACTCCAAAAACTAATTATTTAAATAGCATCCAGAGTTGTTGAAACTCATGGAAACTTTATCCACTGATGATGGCGTGTTCAATGAGATACATCACAAACTTACCCTTTATACCTCTCCAAAGAGGCTTTTAGCACCCAGTAACTTTGCACATGTAAACACACTATCTGGAAAGTCCCTTCTCCTTTATTTCTCCTAGTGAATTTTTACATCTTCTTCTACATGAAATTCAAGCGCTGCCTCCTCTTAGAAGTCTTCTCTGATTCCTCTTGACTGGGTCCCTTTGCTGTGAATGACAGTCCAGTGTTCACACACAATTGTCAAATTAATTAGAATCTATGGTAATTCTTTGGAGACAGGTCTGCTTCCTGGGAATGCAGTATGCATTGCTCACAATTTCAGCCCCAAGTTTAGCATGGTGTCTAGACTTCATACACAGGCATTCATCACGCATTTGCTAAAAAAGTAATGTGATGAATAAGAACAAATGAGTATGAGCGACCATGAAGATGTTTTCTAGATGATTTCTAGTTTGGGGCAAAAAGTTAAAATGCCTGTTTTAAGTCATCTCATAACTCAGTAAACTAGTGCCTCAAAGTAGGTCACTTTTTATTCACATAGCCAGCAAAATTGGCAGTCATTTAGAACTCCTGTCTTTATTGGTGCATATTAATTATACAGAATGGCAGGTTTCATTGTGGCATATTCATACGTACATAAAAACATCCTTTGATAAATTTCACTAACACATTCCCCCCTTTCCTTCCTCCCTCCCCTAATCTTCCTCTGCCCTAATGTGCTCCCTTCAACCTGCCTGGTGTACTTTTCTCCCCTCTTGCTGTCTCATGACAGAAAACAAGTGACACTTTTCTGACTTATTTTACTCAAAATTACGATCTCCAGATCCATTAGAGTTTTCCTGCAAATGACATAACCTCATTCTTTATGGCTGAGTAAAACTCCATTGTGTATACACACCATATTTTCTTTATCCACTCATCTGCTGATGGGCATTTAGGCTGATCCCATAACTTGGCTATTGTGAAGTGTGTTGCCATAAACATGGGTATGCAGATGTCTCTCAAGTAAGCTGACTTTAATTCTTTTGGACGAGTACCAAAGAGTGGTATAGCTGAATCATATGGCTGTTCTATTTTTAGCTTTTTAAGGAACCTCCATACCGATTTCCATAATGGCTGTACTCATTTACATTCCCACCAGCAGTGTGTGAGAGTTCCTTTTCCCTGCATCCTTGCCATCATTTACTGCTATTTGCATTCTTGATTGCCATTCTAACTGGAAAAACTTCTATTTTAATACATAGTGACCTAGTGAAAAAAAACAAAATTCAGAGAGAAAGGCAATGCATGCATAATATCTCTCCTTTATTCATTATTGCATTTGACTTAGAGAAAGGAGGGGGGGAGCTCGATTCCATGGTTCAATGTGTGATTCACATGAAAAACAGAACCATATGAGTAGTGCTATCTTTTAAATTACATGTTCAGATGACACATCAGTATTGGAGCTATAAAGCATTCAAGTCTTTATTCCCCAATCTCATAGAATAAAAATCAAATGTTCTTCGGTTTTTACTAGGAGAAAATGTATGTGGATTTAAATTCTGTTTATTACCACTTAAAAAGAGAAACACAAATAACTGTGTGTATAATCGTTCTTTCATGCTATTTTCTCACAGAGCCATATAACTTCTTTTTTCAAGTCAATATCTAGGGGTCAAAGGCATCGATTACATATTACACTGTGTAAACACACCCCTCTCCACATGCCCTCATGTCATCTTCCAAGACAAAACACATCCAAATGCAAGCCCCTTTTCTAAAAAGATGGAGAAGTTTTTATTCAGCTTGGCTCTGCTGTTGTAATAGTACGATTGCTTTCCAAAGCTAATATTTAATAATTTACTATTCCTACAGCTTTGTAACGCAAACACATTAATGTAAGTTTTATGTATCTTGCTGCTTTTTAAATGGCCTAGAAATAGAATTGCTACAACTAGCTCCACCTGCTGTCAAAATAGTCAAACCTGAAATTACCATTTCACAAAGACTTTCAATAATTCTACTGACATCAGATTTCATACCCAATGAGAAATGCATTATCTGTGTCCCCCCCGGAGTGAAAGAATATGTTCAGGAAATTCTAATTTCAAACACAATCTTGCATCTTCTATGTACACTATTCCTCTA